GGGAGGTCTATATAGCATAAAATATATGAAATCATATTTAGATACCGGTATGTAGGTCTACATTAATGTTACGTTGTAGTTGAGGTTAAAAAATATAAGCACAAATCGCATTATTACATTCATAAATAACACCGGTAAATAAAGGGAAATATGATCATGTACAAACAATAAACACAATACCTAGTATATAGGCTATTTTGAACGGTTTCAGAAGAAAACAAGAATGAAAAATAGAAGTTGCTAAACAAGCCCAAACGAATTAGGCTAATTCAATACGAAACTGAAAGCAAACGGCGTTCTCGCGCAGCCTACCTCTCTCATTCGGCATTAATCCATTAAATGTGTCCATATTTGCGATGTATTTGAATGCTAAACTATTATTTATTATGTAAACCAGGCTTAATTAACGCACTTAAAAAACATCCTCCTCACATGAGCAAATGTGTGTTTGGCCCAAGCTCAGGATCGGCACGGATTGTACTACGCAGTAGGCTACGCACTATTTAAATTAACCAGTGTATCTATATGTTTGGTTGACTGTATTTTATTCTGATAATGAACAGGCTGCAACGTTTGCAATGCTGTAGGCCTATGTGTGTGCGTGAGGCGCCGGCGCGATCGAACAGCGAAAACAAACAACAAAAAAATACTCTGTTATTTTTGGTCATACAGATCATTCGAAACTGCAATGTGTTTACTTTATTTCTGTCATCTCGGTTTCCTTTCCGTGGACTTTCGTAGCGCGTCGCGCCACACAAATAGCCTATGAACCAAACTCAGCAGCATATAGCCTATCTCTGTCTTTTCCTTTCGTTTTGTTAATCTGTTAATTAGGCTATTTAAGTCAAATATTTTGCATATTCATTCATTTTATATATATAGGCTATGATTTAATAAAAACAGATTGCTATTTTTAGTTAAACTTCATTTTTGTTGCTTGTCTGTGCTCGTCCGCCGCCTTTTGTCTCTTCTCTGACCCCGCAGCTCTCTCCAATAGCTTACCGTTAGTGGCACCAGGTGTTTCCAGGTTTTACTCGTGCTATTTCTCTATGTTGAGAGTTTGGTGTCACACATATTGCTAAGCATTCTTATCCTTTTCTCCGATGTACTGAAAATAACAGGAGTGTGTCCATCTCACAAATGTAGAATCCGTCTCTGCAGTCATCTCAACCATCTAATTCCAGCAAGAGAAGATAGACAAACTACAAACGCAGAATATTTTCTCTGGTGCTGTTTTGCGGTGTTAGTAAATTCACCACTTAATTTGGAGTTAAAATATGTTGTTGTAACTTGCGTTACTGAGATTGTAATGAGTAATAATATTACCCGAATTTGATTAGTAATGCGTAATATTATTGCGTTACAGCAAAAAGTAATAGGCTACTACTGTAATATTATTACTTTTGTAATGCGTTACTCCACTGCTGCTTTATGACTACAAATAAATGTAGCAAAAACAAATGATGAAGGGCTGATGAAAAGATTCCAAGTCAGTTGTAATGTGTATATTATGTGACCTCCATGTAACAAAAAAGAAAAACCCGAAATCTGGGTAAAAATCAAACCCTGGGATGTACAAGTGCAGAGATTATGGGATGAAAAGTGAAACAGAGATTGAAACGTTCAGTTCATGTATTATAATTGAGTGAATAGATTGGATCGAAAATAGCATTGATTCATTACACCTAATAAACCGGGTTATGATGTTTCTAACTCTGATGGTGTTGCATGAAGGCTCACAACGGCATCTGAAGTATCCAGTGTGTGCAAAAGAGGCAACCACTAGAGCATTATTACCGGTATATTGTATTATATATATTATATTACATTTTTAATTTATTAAACATTTTTCAGTTTTCTTTTAAATTTTAATTTCTGTTTTTGTAATTTTTTGTGATTTTGTCATTATCATTATCATTGTCACGAATTCGGTCCATGGACTTCCGTTTATTCACCACCAGAGGTCACCCTTTCCATTACATTGACTCTTGCACTACACAAACTGTTGCATAGCACCCCGGACTACATATCCCATCATTCTTTGCACGATTTGCACACTGCCCTGATTGCACTCATTGCACACAGCTGTTTCTAATCACCTCACTCACTATATAACACCCACTCTAACCACCTTTCTCTGCTGAGTATTGTTTAGCCTGTACCCCTTTCCGAGTCTCCGTGTTTTCCTTGTTTTGCCTTGCCTGTTTTTGCGGTTTCTGATCTCTGCCTTTTTTCCTGGATTTCTCCCTCTCGTCTTGCCCCTGTGATTCTGACTGCCGATCGGTGACCTAAGCTAGCCCTAGGACTATTCTTGTGTTTTTGCCCGCCATATACCTGTTTGCCATTGTTCGACCCTGCCTGTTATACCACGTCTCTTTAAATAAAGCTTGCAGATGGATCCACACTTCTCGTCTCGTCAGCCCCGTTACAATCATTATTATTAATTCTGTTTGGCTTTTTTTATTTCTGTTTATAATTAAAGTTGTTTGGTTTTGGTAATTTTATTAATTTAACTGAAATTTATTACATTTTTGCTTAAGTTTTACTTTAAAAAAAAAAAAAATATATATATATATATATATTAAACGTATACTAAAATATAGATCTATATTTATAATATGTTATTTTATTTTCAGCTTTATCTCAATTACAGTAAATTATTTTAATTGTAGCCTAATGATTTTCGCTTTAGCTATCGATAATAACACTGCTAGATGGCTGGAGAAAAACACACCAGTAACATACATTGTTTAACAACAGTGAGAACTGTGTTGAAGACTCTTTCTATGTGGTCTTTTGTAGTTCATCAGCATGGTAGGATTGCTGTATGGTGTGTTGTAGTTGGTCATCAGCGTGGTATAATATGAAAAGCAAGTAATCATATGCTTTTATTGAACAAAAAGTTAAAATACGTAATGTAATAAAACAATATAATCATAACTTATGTATTATATCAGAGGGCGCCGACGGCCTGATGATTGTTTTTACATGTTACAGTGCGATCTAATCCTTTGTGTAATATTGACTAAACAACATTTAATTAAAAGGTTCACTTATTCTTTAATGTTTGGCCACTTTATGAATGCTACAGCCACTGTCGTTTCTTGAACAAGAACATGTAAACATGCAAACTCAGAGCGAGGGTTTAAACTTTTATTTCGAAGTCGCCATAAACAGTTGGCATATTTAAAAAGATAATGTTTTCGCCTGTGTTGGTGTAGATTTGTAAATGATTTACCTTATAAATCCGATAGAATGGTGCACATTGTTCCCAGATGAACATTATAAAAATACATTTTAAATAAATTAAATACATTTTAAAATATACTAAAATACAAAACCGTTATTTTAAATTGTAGTAATATTTTACAATGGATGTAGCAATGTACAATGTCCTTGATATATGTAACCTTGATATTTGATCATATATGCATGCATGTTTGCATAGGGCTAGACTGGTCTGAGGACAGTACAGATGATGAAGATACAGAGGAGCTTGTTCCTTTAATGCCTCAAGCCTGGAGACTTCAGGAAAGAAGCTCCCATCAAAGGTACGAAAATCACTCCTCACTTGCTCCTCACAACTTCTGAGATGCTAAATATATATGCCATTTGCAATAAAGTTCATGAGTATAGATCAAAATGTCTTAGACAAACAAGCTTGTTATTACCTAAACTGATTTATTTTGTTTGTGTATGTCAGCTCCTCCAATGAAAAGCCGCTTTCCAGGCGGGCACGTCTGGCGCAGCTATGTACATACCTGCAAGAGAGGTATAAACACTTGTGCCGACAGGACAGGGCAGCCACCCGTCACAGCAGATACCGATATGCCTTCCGGAAAGCTCTGCTCCATGCTGCAAGCAAAGACCCCGACTGCACTGCACAGCTCATTCAGAAACTCAGCAAGAGCCCACAGACCTCAACCTGGTGTGTTGAACATGGACTGTGTTTGACATGTTTACAGGGAGTGTGTGCATTTCAGGGGTGTTTGTGTGTATTTATTATATGTTTGTATAAACTTTTTTTTTATTTTCAGTTCAAGGTCTGCAGTACCACACAACTATGAAAGGACAATGTGTACAGGACCCACAAAGGGTCAAAGCTGCAGCAACATAGCTTTGCCATTTTCACGTCACTGTTTTCAACGTATCCTTTAACACATTCATGCTACAAGTAAAATGAACAGACATTAGTGGTGGCCTAGTGATGAAAGGATGAACAGTCGCCAAGTAAAGCCTACGTGCATTTGTCAAATGTCAGTGTGTTATGTTCTTGACAGCATGTTGACGTAGATATCCTGTTGAATCGCTCTCAGCAGCTGTTCTCCAGTTGCACGGCACGGTTCGCTGATGGACAGCAGTGCTCTGTTCCTGTGTTTGACATTACTCACCAGACACCTCTTTGTGACGAACATGCCAAGAAAATGGTGAGAAACCACACAGCTTATCTTGATCATCTTAAATGGGATGTGTTTACACAGTACAGAGTTGGTTGTAAGTTGTACGTAAATGTATGTGTGTGTGTGTGTGGCAGGATAATTTCCTGCGTGGGGATGGCAACAGACGCAGTCAGCAGCAGCGGCGCCCACGTAAGAAGACCAAGCCACCTGCACTGACGAAGAAACACAAAAAGAAGAGAAGACGAGGTCCGCGCAGACCGCAGAAGCCCATTCCTCCCGCTGTGCCACAGGGGAATTTGCTAATGCCCTCCCTGTCACTGCCCCCTCACCATACCCATGTCAGGTGCCTATCCTGCTTTCAAATGCATCCCAGTCTTGCTTCACAAATGTTTTGTTGTTGAATTTCGAAATGTCATTATACATCACAAATACCAGTGTTGTAGTCAAGACCAGCTCATTCAAGTCCAAGTCCAGGTCAAGACCCAAGTAGGTTAAGTTCAAGTCAACATTGAGACCGGAAGAGGTTCTGAATGATTCAGACCATGTTAATCAGGGGTACCCAGTCCTGTTGCTGTTCCTATACCTTCTTACAAAGTTCAGTGCTGATTCTGATCAATGACAACTGAACCAGCTAATTAAGATTTTCAGGAGCACTTGATAATTACGGAGAGGTGTGCTGGAACAGGGTAGGAACTGAACTCTGCAGGTAGGTAGATCTCCAGGAACAGGACAGGGCACCCCTGATTTACATGGTAAGTGTTCAAAATTCTGTCACGACAGCACTGAGTGGATCATATGCACTAGTTTCCACAGTGTTGTAGTAGAGTCTGAGAGTTCAGTCTCTAGTCTAGGTGCTGAGTTCATGACAAGGCCAAGACCATGTAATATTTTGAGACCAAGTCCAGTTTCAAATACTAACAAAACTGACAAATACATGCTGTATTGCCGGTGTTGTCGCAAGGATACTGTAACAGCCAATTGAGTAGGACATCTACTGTCATGAAAGAGCAACACTATCTTGATGAGGAAGTTAGTTAATGTAAGACAATCTGTCAGTATGTTGATAGCTAGCTACCTGAAATATAAGTCTTCCTGATAGCTAGCTACCTGAAATATAAGTCTTCCGGTTTAATGACAGACATGAAAGGAACTCAACTTCTTGAATACCGAGGTTTGTTATCACCACAGCAACAATGAAAGAGGATCTTTCCATTCATATGCATGTACTTCATAGGGTATGTTTCCGACTTTATTCAACTTACATCAAGCTTGCATTCACTCTGCCTGTTACTCTAGCAGGAGCCCATCAACCCCTGAACTCAATGCAGATGAGCTTCCTGACGATATCACGAATGAAATGCCTGACATTCCCAATGATCTTGAGCTGAATCAGGAGGATTTCTCTGATGTACTGCCCAGACTACCTGATGATCTTCAGGATTTCGACCTTTTTGAGGGTGCGTTCACATCAGATTATATGACAACAAAATATCTTAAAGACTCTAGGGTAGCCTCTTTTGACTTGGGCCAGCAGGCAATCATACAGACTAGCATTTGTCAATCACCACTCAAGTTTTCTTCATTAAATGTAAAATTCTACTTGTTGGTTGGTTTGCACTTTGTCTGAGTTGTCTTTGTGGATACAGGTAAGAATGGAGAGTTGTTGCCCACCACAGAGGAGGCTGAGGAGCTGGTCAGAGCCCTGCAGGCCATGGGGTCGTATCCCGATTCACTGGTGTGTTTGTCCTCAATGGGTGAACTGACCACAGCAGACGGGGTAGACCACCGAACCATGGCCGTGTTCTCGGGATCAGGGGTCACAGCGACTGGCATCGGAGACCTTCTGAACGGCCGAATGACTTCGGAGACTTTTCCCAGTCTAGACCTGGAAGGAAACCTCCTCCATGCCCCGACAGACCATCATTTCCCAACGTCCCCTTCTCCCCAGCCAACCCAGAGCAGTGCCACCGCACCCACTACAAGTCCCAATGGTGGGTTAACAGAACGAACGTTTTCCCGAGCTCCCAAACCGGACTCATCTCCACCTGGCAGTCATTACAGCAGCGAGCATGTGCCATCGCCCTACAAGGATCACATCTCACCCCCACATGGTGCCTCTTATCAAACCGACCCGCCTCTCTTGCTGGAGGTGCCTTTGAGTGGAGCACCAGGCCCTCCACGCACCTCCTGGAATAACCTCCCTCTCTCGCTCACAGACCCGGCACAGTTCGGTAACCTCCTCTCTGCTGAAACTCACCTGCTCTCCACCGCTCTGTCCACCCCACCCTCCATGTCCCACTCCACAATCCTGCAGCCCACCGCTGCTCTCTCCGCTCTACCCCAACCGGGCCTGACGCGCCTCACCTCACCCTCATCCTCGCCCTCTTCACGGGACCTTCTCACCCCCACCCAACCTAAACTACAGCTCCCACAGTTTAGTGCAGCCTTCGGCCACCAACTGGCTTCTCACAGTGGGATCCCCAAAGACCTGCAGCCCAGCCATAGCTCGACAGCACCACCTACAGGCTTTACAATCACTAGTGCCACTGCTGCCACTCCACCGTTCCCTCAGAGCAACTGAGTCTGGTTAGAGAGACCATCCCATCTCACATTATAGAGGGATAGTTCACGATGGTTCTTTTTTTACTAGTCACTCTCATGACTTTTCTTTTGTCAAGAAAGAAGTTCTGAACGATGTTCACTTTCTGCTCTTTAAAAAGAAAATAATGCAGTGAACAAGTGTTGTCAAGCTCCAAAAAAGCACTGCACATGTGTATCACAATCGGTTATGAATTGCGGAGTGTTTTGTGTCATGTCTTGACAGCTGCAAGATTTTGAGTGAGTAAAGGCCTGTTCACACCAAGATAAATGTTCAGTAAACATTTTTATATTTAGAAAACTTGCTGACCAATAATTTGCACTTTTGATCACAAAAAGTATTTGCTATTACATAAAACTAAACAGACAATTTTGCTAAGCGACTGACTAGCAGAGGAAGAATCCAGAACCAGCTTTCCTGTCTCTGGTCTAGTTTTTTTTGGTGTTAGTGAACACCCTCACATATACAAAAATGAAAAAAACATTTGACTTCCTTTCGTCACGGTGACACGTGGATGTCAGAAATGGAAAGTTGCACAGTGCTGACCTTGTGTACCGCTATACTTCTGTTTTTCAGTGTATCAAATCTGTGTGAACAGGCCTTTAATGACTTAAATTCCAATCTGTTCCTAACACATAGCTATCAATATGTCTTCAGAAGACTTGGAATATAGTGCACAAATCCTATGGACCTCTTTTAAGGTGCTATCAGTCTCCATTCACTTTAGTTGCATGAAGAAGAGCAGTCTGGACATTGTTGGAAACATCTCCTTTTATGTTCTTCAGAAGAAAGTATGGGTTTAAGGGTTTATATTTGGGTGAACTAACTCTTTAAGTCTCATCACCAACAGCCCTGTGTCTGACTGGCACAATAGATCAGCAGCAGATTTGAGTCTTTCTGTACACGGATCTCTGCTTGGTCTGTTAAAAGTGTCCATCCTCTGTTTGTTGTTGTAGTGATCCAAGAGTTATGTTCTGTCCACATTTGCCCCTTTTCCACCAAATGGTGCTAGTGCAGGAGCCGGTGCTCAGTTGGGTGATCCATGGAGCTGTCTCTTAGCCGACCCATTAATATTGACAGCCAAAACAATCTAACTGACAACATTACTACATTACTTGATCATGTGTCTTACAGTCTTAGTTTGTTCCAATTTAAATCACTTCCTTGCAGTCAGACAGGGACAGTAATGTTGCTGGAGAAGCTGTGCAGCATGATTAAAAATAGAAATGTCAACTGAGGTTGTGTGCAACATATTTTTACATTATTAAGGATAGGGCTGGGTTTTAACACAATTTTCACGATTCGATTCTCATTCACAAGCTTGCGATTCAATTCAATATCGATTATTTTGGATATATATCAGGTACAGTACATGCTAAATTTTCTCAAGGAAAAAAAATCTCTCAACTAATGCTGTAAAACATACATGAGAGTCAGTTGGTACTACATTACTATAATATTGAAGGTTAAAATTGACTGATTTGTTAAAATTACACTTTTTACACAAGTTATTTAAAATAATAGTTACAATTACATAATAATAATATTTCTACTTCAATTCGTTTTTTTTATATAAACATTATGGTGGCTGTCATAAAAACTTGATGGATTTATTTAAACATAAATTAAACATTGAAGAACAGTAAAAATTATAATGAATATGTTATATGGTGCATATATTTATAGGGTTGGGTACCGAAACCCGGTACCAATGTGGCACTGGTACCTATTGGCGCTTTTCCACTGCGTGGTAAGACTCGGCTCGGCACGGCTCAGTACGGCACGGTTCGGCTTGGCACAGTTTGCGTTTCCACTGCAGTTCAGTACCGCTTTAGAGTGGGCGGGATTATTCACATGTCGTTATATTTGTGCCGCCTCTACTACCACGACTCCTAAAATAAAAAAAAACGTTTTCATTCCGCGTCGCCGCATCAAGCTCTCACTGGATCCGCTCCTCTGCTATCAACGAGAGGAACGTCTGTTCTTCCACAACAGACAACAAAACTTTTTGGTTGTTAAAAAAAGTGCGCTCATTCAAAACAGTTGCGTTTGATCCTTCGCTGGCTGTGCTGATTTAAATCTAGCGGTTCTTTTGTGTTTGTGTCGCAAGTTCAGTGACTATTCTCTCCGGCCAATCCGTGATCAGCTGAGTTTACACGTCACGTTTTGGTAACTGTACAGTTCACTTGGAACCCCAACCGAGGTGGTACTAAAAAAAGTACCAGGTACTGTACCCAGTGGAAAACCCCCAAAAAGTGAACCGTACCGAGCCGTACCATGCAGTGGAAAAGCGCCATAAGTAACCGGTATGTACTAGAACCGAATAGGAATGCAGATTTCGGTGCCTCATTTCGGTGCCATGCCTGAGCGATCGATTGAAATATTTGTTCTCTGGTTCTCCGAAACGGACATAAGAAGCATCATCACTAACACCACACATGAAAAATAATTTCCCGACTGAGAAAATGCATGTGAACTCAAGTCGGAAAGCTCTAATAATACAAATCCAACACATCTTTGTAGTAACGAGAGTGTCCATGTTGTTTTCAGATTCCGACTTAAAAGCACAACTCGGGAAATGAGCATCCGAGGAGCTCTCATTATGCAGTAATTACTTTTGCTCTGATGGCTTCAGGTAGCCTTCCGTTAATTAAGCTAAACATGCTTAAATTAAAATGTTAACTTACCTTCGGATGTGTAGTCATGTTTATTTTGTGCTGAAACTGGTATTAATGTGGAGGAGATGATCAGTTCACGTGCGCCTTGCGCTTCAGCGTCTGTTGAATTGAGGCGCTACAGCGATCTGTCACTCCACATTAAACAGTGCCAAAACGACATTTATTGTATGATTACTGCAATAAAATTGGCAGAATTTGAAATCTGAGACTTTGTTTCATATTAAAAGTACCAAAGCACAATGCTTATTGCGATTTATTGGATCGGAAGTGCCCTTCAATGTTCCGTCCATTAACTGAAAACGGGCTAGACTAATTGATTCTTGGGATTTAAGAATCGATATCGTTCCGTAAAAATGAGAATCGATTAATTATCAATATTTTTTTACCCAGCCCTAATAAACGAGTCTTTTAACAAACAGTGTCTCTAATGTTACTAGTTCTTTGAGACCTGCGGGTTTAGGAGCTAAGGCACAAAACCACTTTTTTTTTTTCAGTGGAAACGTGCAAAATAGTGTCAGGCACCAGCACCGTGTCAGTGGACAAGGGGTGATGGTCTGTTGTACTAAGGCTAGTGAATCAAATTCTATCATATTACTTATTCCATTAGTAAGTATTCCTCAAATGGGAGTAGCAAGTTGTTGGTTGGCTTGTGTCCTGTAGAGTCCTTGTGATAGGAACCTGCTGGTGTGTGTTGGCTGGAGAAAGAGCAGGGCAAGTCTCTTGAGACAAAATAATGGGTCTCATTCATGAAAAACCTGGAGAATATAAGTGAAAATCATTTGAGAATCCATTCTTATGTAAATTATTACATTGAATTACTTCTAAAATCCAGTGAGAATTTACGTAAGAATAGTTTAGGAAAAGATTCAGTTCATTCTTACATAAACTGTTGCATTGAACGGTTACGTAAGCTGTCTCACACAATTGAATGATTTGTAAACCCGTTGCACTGAATTGGTTTAAAACCACTCGGATGATTGAGTTTGAATTATTCATAGAACCATTCTTGTATAAGCTGTGACATTGTATCGAATGCAACAGTTTACGTGAAAATGGTTTTCTGATGATTTACACGCATTAGTTCTGCTGGTGTTTGCATGAAAGAGATCTTTTGTGTGCCAGAATGATCACAGGCATACTGGAGCCATTTGGTCGTTACTTAATTTTGAGGCATCCTTAAGTGAATCTCAAGATTTGTCTGTAGTGACAAAACGTTGTTTGTTTTCTTGGTCATCACCCTTAAACTTCCTGTGGTCAGCTGCACTTTCACCTGCACTGTGTTCCACAGGTTCTAAATTACTTTTCAGTCATTCGTGCAAAAACCTGATACTTGTGAACAAGAATCGTCCTTGTTTATTCTCCCCATCAATGTTCATCAGTTGTGGCAGATGCCTTTTTGTTTCTCTAATGAGCTGAAATGCTGTGTGCAGTCCAAGTTGTTACTGTGTTACTACTGTGTGTCCTGTGCGAATGACAGCAGGTCCGCTGCACAGAGAAACCCCCTGACAAAAGTCGCTTGCACTCTGCGTTAAGATGGCTGACTGATTCCTATACTCACTGAATGTACTGTAGAACCGTTTTTAAAACTCATAGGATAATCTAGTCACCTTTTGTTATCGGTCTTTAATTTGTCTAAGGTATTTTTTTTGTATACAAAAGTTTACATTTTTATGTATATTTTTCTTGTGTAAAAATTATGTAATATGTGTATAAACATTGTATGTAATATCTGTATATAGAGTGACACATTTCGATCTTGTTTTTGGATGTAAGAATTAAAATTGTGTGAATTTGTTGGATTGTTACAGTTTTTTAGATCGGTATAGCTGTTACACGTTAATTTGCCTTATGGACAAGCTGGCTTTGAGCAGCAGGTTAAAAGACACAGGTGCTTCCTGAAAAGGGGGGGTAGCGGTGATCACTTGGAGTTGTATATTAGTCTGAATTGAACTTTAGCACAGATTTATAGTCCTGTAAACCCATACGCTCTTGTTACGTAACATTAAAATGCTGTTATCATCCAGGTGCAAACAGAAGTGCTGTAACTCAGGATCATTGGAGATACAGGAAGGACAACAAAAATTGTTTACATCTAAATGAAGCATATAATGGATTCTACACACAATGGGATTGAGGAACCATGTAAAGCTCAAGTGTGTTATTTTTTTGATGTTGAAACACTTCTGTTCTGGCTCATACAGAATCAACTGTAAGTCAATTGTAGGCTATCGGCAACATTGTCTCTGTTTGGGACTATCTGTTTGTCAACGAATTTGCAAAACCTATATATATTTTTTTTGCATATTTTCTCTTTTTTTTGCAATTCTGACTGCTAGTGATTTAGAAATTACACACTTCAGCTTTAAAATTCCATTTGTTTGTTGTACAATAATTAATATAAATGAGTTAAATGTTCCTATTGAAAAAAATAAAATAAAGAAAAACATGAGCATGTTAGCACGTTGCTAAGATAATGATACAATAAGCAAGAAAATCGATTTAAAAAGAAAAGAAACACTAAGCCAAGACCAGCCACAGCATAGAAATAAGCTTAGTACAGGTACTGAGCAAAGAAAAATTACATTTGAAGGGAATACAAAAATAGTATAGTCGTTTTTTTTTTTTTTTTATTAAAAGATCAAAACTTAAATCTTAAAGTTGAAAATAACTTTTAACATATTAAGAAAATTCAGATTAACAGTCTTTTCCTTCCATGAATTACTAGAACATTTTAAAGTTGTCAAATGGTTCCATGGGGTCCTTAAATTCAGTTCACATTCTACACTTATGTAGAGACAGCAAGCACATGAGATTGTAAATGAAAATTACAATCCCACCTTAATAAAACGAAAGAAAATACAGGCACAGAAAGAGTCTTCATGCAGAAGCACAGAGTCAGTCAGTGTTGAGACGAAAACCTGTGAGGCAGAAAACACACATCAGACTCTCACCAACTCACACATGATGGCCAGTGCAGGTGGGGAGCTGTGAATACCTCTTTAACCTCTGAACAACTCTCGTCACCATAGAGTCAGTGATCCCGGGACATGTCTCTTCAGCCAGGAGCATGGCCTGCTTCAGCTCCTCTAACACCGCCGGCTTATAAACACCTTGCTTCTGTTTCAGCTGACAGAAAAACAAACACATATCCATCCTGTGATTGACACTTTGGATACATAAAGCAGTTAGTTCAGTATGCACTGATATTCATTTACCTGATCATTTGCAAACTGCTAAGCTCAACTCTAGATAAACATCAGTACATGCACATAATACACAAGTTGAAAGGTTCATCAGAATCAAATTCTTACCTCTGCAAACAGTGGTGATATAATAGAGGACTTGGACTCTTTGCTCTTGGATGGAGGCTTCTTTGTGCTGTCTGGAACCTAAACAATGAGCAGGCAGATGTGAAAGTATGATGTATACATGTCTGAATATCACTACATGAGTTAAAATCTGTGCTCAAATGCAGCAAACTTTCTTAACAAATTTTTCTTAATTTTTGCTCAATGATTTTTAATCAGGTGGTGTTTTGAGGATTTTTAGTGGATGTCTGAAGTCAGTTCTATTCCGATTCACAAGGTGTCCTAACCGCAGGTGTAAACAAATACTTTAACTATCAACATGATATTCCCAGTGGCTACTGGACTCCACCAGGGAAGTCCCTTGCC